GAGGAAGTGGCTTTGCTTTATTTACAGAGAGCAAGAGCATGTCACGTTCATCAGATAATTAATTCATAATTAGTTCACCAGATAATTCAGAGACATTCTGAGTTTCATCACCCAGGAGCTGCGGGAGAGGCTCACAGCTCGCTTTCATTTCAGCTAAAGAGCTCCTCTCTATCTGTTTCAGGTTAGTGGACATCTTTCAGTAAACTGTCCCGTCGGGAAATATGTCGCTACATCACACAGTGGAGTCTCTCTGGTTGATGCGGTGCGTCGAGCTGCAMAAGTTCAGATTTTCTAACTTCAGCGGTTTGCACATGAAGCAAGTCGAACGCTCAAATCGTTCAAACCGTTCAAACCGTTCAAATCGCGCTGCTCTAATCGCGCTTGAGGCGCCGCAGCACTTCCCGACGCTGATTGAAGTGCGTCCACCATAGACTTTGTATGTAAACCTGMTGCTCCTGATGCTGAAATCGCGTTTGGTGTGAACGCACCATTAGAACATTTTAGGTGCTTATTATTCCCAAAATTGCTATTTAAACTAATTTTGTCTCTTTTTCTCTACAATGTAAAAGCACTCAGTGGTGATGAATTCTACCTTTGTACAAGGAGCTGAAAGACAAGAAAATTCAACATTTAGTGCATTTATGTAACAAAACCTTCATGCTGACTATGAGCAGCCAGTGTTATTTCTGCAGCTGTTTTAATTGTATATTTTTGTGCTGTTGTCAGTATTCCTGTCACGAGAATACATTTTGCTGGATAGCAAATTCTCAGAAATTATTGCAATTAACTATTGTTTGGAAACTATTTTAAACTAATATAATGATTCCTCACCCCCACCCTTTCCGAAGCTTACAGAAGTTTATGACATACGTCAAAATAAAGTTATGAACTGACTCGGACCATAGATTGGGGAAGCGCACAGAAGCTGCCAAATTGCTTCCAACCTCCTTTATCCAAGCCGTCCCAATTTATTCTACATGTGTCTTCCTCTGTCTTCATAAAATAACTGCAGTCACCCTCATGCCCCTCGTGAAATTTAAGGAAATTTATGAAGTTTATGTTAAGTTATGGACAGACTGGGAGCGGATGTTGCGAAAACAACACATAACAGTTACTGAAGCCATACTGTAACATCGCTTCCCATTTGTATCCATGACAGCACAACACGTATATCCTTTGTTTCGTCTTCTGGCTTCATAAACCAGTTGTGGTCACCGCAGGCTGCTTACAAAATATATGAAATTTGTGTAGTGTAAAAAAAAACAACTCTTGGCAAATACAATGTTTGGTGTTCTGATGCTTCGCAGCTGAAAGAAGGTGTTATCTGTTCTACAAGACCGTTTGCCTGGCAAATACCTGATGCGAGAGTTCACTTCTCCCTACACTAAGGAGTAGAAAAGAGGGAGACTGAAAGAAAACAAAACAGCAGGCAAATGAAAATGATCAACCTCCTTTTACTTTATCTTGT